AGTCTAGGTTGAAAAGGCAGTGTCTACCTGGTGAAACTCCAGTCATAGTGATGTCAGAGGTAGAAGAAGGCAAGCTCAGTTGTACAAAGATATTTCAAACCTTTGCATCATTTCTGCTAACATTCTGTTGGCCAAAGCAGATCAGATGACCAAGGCATGGAGACAGGGAAATATACTTTGCCCACCATGGGACTAAAGTGAGGCATGTGGACAAGCTTAGCATCAGTTGGAAAGGGAAATAAATTCCTTTCATGGAGGTGATTATTTTTGAAGAAGAAAACCCACGTCTATTAAATAAACAGTGTAAAATGAGATGATGCCCATTGCAGCTGTACAATGCTTTGCATGTAATCATGAAAATTGTCATTAGGCCTGCCCTAGCCAGTTTGGCTTGGTGGATAGAGCATCGGCCTGCGGAATCAAGGGTCTCAAGCTTGGACTCAAAGGTCTTGGGTTCAATTCCAGTCAAGGGTATGTACCTTGGTTGCGGGCACATCCCCACTAGGGATGTGCAGGAGGCAGCTGATTGATGTTTCTCATCGATATTTCTGACTCTCTCTCTCCCTTCCTCTCTGTAAAAAAAAAAAAATCAATAAAATATATAAAAGAAAAAAAGAAAACTGATTAGGCCATTGTTTACTTAGTATTGCTTAGTCTAAGTTGTTCTAATATATCAGTTAATAGAAAATACTGTTTTTGTATGCTCATGTTTTTTAATAGATTGTTTTATATTAGCTATAGGTTGTGTTTTTTTTTGTTTTTTTTTTAAAGATTAATTCCTAAACGGGAAGTTATTAGAAGCATCATTCATTAGAAGCATCATCAGTCAACTTAAAGAAAAAAGTGACATGTGATTTCCATTTCAGTAAGGTAAGTGATTTATACTTTTATAACTTGGTGCTTTCCAAGATGATTATTAGTGTATCAAATAATAATACACTAATACTTTGTATTTTCAGAGAGAAATTTTATTACATTTTAATTTTTTGATAAGGTTATATGTCTACATAACAAAACATTAAGTGGATATATAATGAAAAGTACACTTTTTTTCTTACTTCTGACATGTAGTCCCATAGTTTGTTTGTTTATTTATTTATTTATTTAAATGTTTTTACATTCTCTGGGCCTCACAAGTGTTTGGAGTCGATTCTTGGGAGAAGAGCTCTCCCCATCATTGGTACCATTTATTTTCTGTCTCTTTTAAAAAAAATATATTTTATTGATTTTTTACAAAGAGGAAAAGAGAGAGATAGAGAAGAGTTAGAAACATCGAAGAGAGAGAATCATTGATCAGCTGCCTCTTGCACCACACCTACTGGGGATGTGCCCGCAACCAAGGTACGTGTCCTTGACCGGAATTGAACCTGGGACCTTCCAGTCCGCAGGCCGACGCTCTATCCACTGAGCCAAACCGGTCTTGGCTGTTTTCTCTCTTGATCCATTTGATACACGCTCCTACACCACCACGTACAAGGCCAGCTACTGCTAGTTCCAGGCCTGGAACCATTTAGCAAGAGGTGCAGGACAAGCTGAGGCCAGATGCTGCTTGCTTGAGAGATTTTAGGAGTCTGAAGATGAACCAAGACAGGCTGTTTGTATTGAAAAGCTAATCAATGAAAATGGCTTGGGTTGGACTTGCAAATTGGGTGGGGCATTTTCTCAGGGAATCACTAGGTCAGGTCTAACAGCCTTAGCCAGGTTGATGGAGACTCCCCTACCAGCTCTGTCGGGGGAGGTCCAGAAAAGGAATTAAGGCCTCTACCAGCATTTCTGTTTGGAAGAAAGCAGCCGCTCCTGTCCTCATTCTGATGTCAGATAATTCAGTTCCTCCCCATTGCCCCAGTGTAGGAGCTCAGAGCAAATGAATCTTGAGTCTATGCATGGGCCATTTAAGAGGAATCTTGAATCTCTAGCCATCCTCCGGCTCATTTAGCCAAAAACCCTGATGGTTTTTATAGCCAGAAGTTATGGGGATTTCTCTTCCTGGCCTGGAACTCTGGGTGGGGGACCTGGTGTGGGTGGAGACTCCCTCATTCCTCAGGGGGTACCTCCACAGCCTAGACATTCCTTGTAATATTGGCCACACTTTTAAGTGTAGGGCCAGTCTGTTCAGTGTCTCTACCCCTCGTACCAGTCTCAGTGTGGCTTTCCTTTTTTTTTTGTGGGGTGTGGAGGTGATGTTAAACTGTACTCTTTTTGGTTAGGATATTTAAAAAAAAAAAGATTTAAAAACATATTGATTTTTTTAGAGAGGAAGGGAGAGGGATAGATAGTTTGAAACATCGATCAGCTGGCTCCTGCACACCCCCTACTGGGGATGTGCTCACAACCAAGGTACATGTACAGGTTTGACCAGAATCGAACCTGGCACCTTTCAGTCCGAAGGCCGACGCTCTAGCCACTGACCCAAACCAGTTAGGGCTTGGCTAGAGTACTTTAAAACATATTTTTATTGATTTGAGAGAAAGAGAGAGAGAAACATCGATTTGTTGTTCAATTTATTTATGTACTCATCAGTTGATTTTTGTATGTATCCTGACTGGGTATCAAACTGGTAACCTTGGTGTATTGGGACAACAGGTCTAACCAGCTGAGCTGTCTGGCCAGGATTAACATGACTTTTTCCTTATATCCTCAGTTGTAGGCCTTCTTTTCAGCTAGGGTTCAGGCAGCTCTGAATGATGGTGGTTCTGTTGTAACCTTGGTGCAGTTGTGGGAGGATTTGAGTACTGTTTACCTATGCCATCATTTTGACGGGTGTGTGTGTGTGTGTGTGTGTGTGTGTGTGTGTGTGTGTGTATGTCTATGCTTACTGACTGTGGGCCTTATTGGTATTTTTTTTAGGTCTTTTCTCTAGACTTGTTAAATTCATTAGAAAATAATCTTTCAGTTTTCTTTGTAGAAGGCATAGGCCTGACTGCTGTTTAGGAGTCTGGTTAGGCAAAGAGGGCGAAGGCAGTGGTTTTACCAATCAGTATATGAACTCCTTATTTTCTTTGTTGCCACTTTGTTACTTCTTGCTTCATCTGTGACTGTTGAGCCCCCAGATGAAAAGCCTTTTGTTTTACTCCAGCCAGACATATATACCTCCTGTCTTCAGGGAGTGATGCAGGGCAGTCTTCTGGGTGCTTGTAACTGGAAAGGCAGTCTTGCAGTCTTTTGATTTTTTTTGAGTCCCATTTTTATCCCCCTCTCCTATAGAGCCTGGTATTGCCAGGTCCTGAATCCTAAGGGATTCTGTGGTTTATGTAGTTCTGCTGCTTATCATTTTTCTCTTTTCCTTCAGATTTATGAGTTTGTCTTGTTTTATTCTAGTGTATTTTTAGTAGGTTTTACATGAGAGTAGAGGTTAATGTGTGTTTAAATTTGCCTTTTTCTTAAAATATGGGGAAATCTCAGAAGTAACCTATTTATTTTTGTGAATTGATTTTAGAGAGAGAGGAAGGGAGAGAATGAGAGAGAAACATCAATGTGAGAGAGAAACATTGATTGCCTCCTGTACATTTCCCCACTGAGAATTGAATCCACAACCTGGGTATGTGCCCTGACCAGGAATTGAACCCGAGACCTTTTGTGCCTGGGATGAAGCTCCAACCAACACAGCTACACTGGCCTGGACTAAATTTGCCTTCTTAACTGCCATTGTCTTTCTATGTATAGAGTTACTTATATAGCACTGCTTTTCCTCACAATAGGGTTTTATTTTATCAGTTTAAAAAATAAAAATTAAAAAATATATATATATTCAGAAAGGAAGGGAGAGAGAGAGAAAGAGAGAAACATCAATGATGAGAGAGAACCATTGAGCCATGCTGGATATGCCTACATTACCAGTTTAACACATATGCACATTTAATGATTTCTTTTTTGTATTGACTTTTTTTCTGCAATATAAAATTGATGCATGCTATTCTGTTAGATGCATGTAACATTGTTCCCTTGATGCTAGAAATACTGAAATTAGGCTGTGTGTAAAGTAAGCTCTGAAGACTAATGTTAGGACAGGGTAAAATTACGGATTGTGATATTTGATGGGAGAGGAATGAATGATTACATTTTTTCTCTGTATCTTTTTCTTGTAGGTGGTATGTAATGTGTTGATATATAAGGAATGATTTTGTCAGATTTTCATGAGTTATGGTGGCTGAAAGATCAGTTTTGTCTTGTGGGAACAGAAGTGTAAGTAACCCCAAGTAAATTAATTTTCAACATTTATGCATAATATATAAGGCACATTATTGATTATTCATAAGAATGTACTTGGGATACTTTACTCTTTTAGCCTTAATTATACAGACTAAATAATTTAAAAGGAGAAGTTAGATTTTATGTAAATAAAGATTATTTCTGTACAGTATTAGTGTTGCCATATTTCTTGGATTGTATAAAATTTATTATTTTTTAATTTTTCAGAAATGGCAGCACAAAAGGAAATCTATGTTAATGAAATATTTTATTAAACGAAAGAAGTTATATAAGAACTTTAAACCAACAGACTCAGCAAATAAGGGAAGACATGTTTCAAATGAATCAAAGTCCAATATCTCTAGACTCCAGAAGAAAAAAGTTTCCAAAAACTTTGTCAAAACAGAGGGGTCAGTGATAAATAACTCCTCCAATAATAGGGCCTACCTGAAACCTAATATTAAATAAAAAATAAAAAATTATCAAAACAGATTCAACCTGAATTAAGTATTTTTCACAAAAAGCTCCAAAAATATCAAATTAGAATTAAATTGTCTTCAAATTTCTATTGCCTTGCTCAAAGTGAAGCCGATATCTTTTAGCCTTCATGCAAGCTTTTATCATGTTCTAGGGATGACAGAAACCTTACTTGAAGCAAACTAGTATTTTTGTTGAAATGTGTATTGGCATCAAAGTCATTTTTTTAAGATCTGCTCCTCAGTAATAATACTGGACATTCAGCATTCGCACCTACCAGGATACAAAAATCCTCTCAGAAGTCACTCAGTAAAGGAGGACCTGATTCAGGAACAATGTCCATTCAGGAGAAATCAAAAGAAAATTCCTCCAATGTTACTAAAAAATGTGACGATAAGAATTTAGAAGCACAAATTCAAGGTTCTGAAAAGAATCTAGCAAAGAAATCAAGTCCAAAGCAAGCTATAAAATCAATGGCTAAATCTTCTAGTGATAAAATAAATAAAATAAATCAGCCTGAATTAGGGACATTTATGAATACAAGGTCAGCAAAAGCAGCATCCAATGATGAAAAAGATAGTAAATCCATTAATAAAAATATGGTGACTCTGAAGGGACATTCTCAACAAGAATCTACAAAAAAATCTCAGAAAAAATCATTGCCTGAAACGCCTAAATCAAATGAACAGCCTAACCGGAGATCACAAAGACTACAGCAGCTTACGGAGGTTTCAACAAGGTCTCTGCGGAGTAGAGAAATCCAGGGTCAAGTTCAAGCAGTTAAACAGAGTTTGCCACCAGCAAGAAGAGAATACTCTAGCAATACTCAGAATAAATCTAATAAAGTTAAAACAAGTCAAAAACATGTGAAAAGAAAAGTACTGGAAATAAAATCTGATTCTAAAGAGGATGAAAATCCAGTTATTAATGAAGTAGTAAATTCCCCAAAAGGAAAAAAACGCAAAGTAGAGCATCAGCCAACTTATGCTTGTAGTTCTCAGTGCATGAAAGCATCTGAAAACTGTCTTCAGAAAAATATTAGAAAAGAGGAAACGAAATCTGTGCCTGTAACTTCTGAGATAAAAAAATCATCTGTCTCTAAAAAAAATGAGATGAAGAAGTCTGTTCATTCACAAGTGAATACAAGTGCAAAAGTCTCCAAAAGTTCACAGCCATTAGTGCCTGAACAAAGTGTAGATAATGAGCAAGCAGGAAAGAATAAACGAGGTAGCATTCTCCAGCTCTGTGAGGAAATTGCTGGTGAAATCGAGTCAGATACTGTAGAGGTAAAAAAGGAATCTTTACAAATGGAAAGTGTAAAGGAGGAGAAGCCTACGGAAATAAAATTGGATAAAGCTGATACTGAAAGACAAATACTTCATCAGAAGGAAACAAATAAGGATGTTCAGTGTAATCGTTTCTTCCCTAGTAGAAAAACAAAGCCTGTGAAATGTGTATTGAATGGAATAAACAGCTCAACTAAAAAGAATTCCAACTGGACCAAAATTAAACTCTCAAAATTTAATTCTGTGCAGCAAAATAAGTTAGACTCTCAAGTTCTCCCTAAATTGGGCTTAGTACGAACTAGTTTTTCACTACCAGCATTAGAAATGCCTCATCCAGTGACTCAAAGTACATTTTTAGGGACAAAACCACATGATAAAAATATAGCTTGCCAGCAGGTAGAAATTAATTCTGAAGAAGTTAAAAGTAGTGATATTACAGTTGAAATTATTAAAGCCACAAAAAGAGCTCCTGAAAATTGTCATTTGGATAATCAGATAAAACCACCTCCAGATTCACCATTGGATAATCAGATGAAAGATTCTTTTGAATCAACACCAGATAAGGTAATATATTTTTCATTATGTACAATAGAATTGTCTGAGTACTTTTTAATAAGTAGTAAGTCTTTAAATATATTTTATCTTAGGAATCATAAAAGAGTCGTTTTATTAATCCAATCTTGTGGTGAGTGATAGAACTCTAGGTGTCTCACATTTACATGAATGTTTCATAGTTTCCTTATTTTCACACTTCATTTTTATTATTTATTTTTTTATATTTTTATGTTTAAAATATGTTTTTATTGATTTCAGAGAGGAATTGAGAGAGTTAGAAACATCAATGATGAGAGAGAATCATTGATTGGTTGCCTTCTACATGTCCCTTACTGGGGATTGAGCCCACAACTTGGAATATGTCCTTGTCTGGAATCAAACCTGGGACCCGTCATTCCTCAGGCCAACATTCTATCCACTGAACCAAACTGGCTAGGGTGTATTTAAAAAAAAATTTTTTTTTTTTAAAGGAACTCCTATTATTTATTTATTTTTAAATATATTTTATTGATTTTTTCAGAGAGGAAGAGAGAGGGATAGAGAGTTAGAAACATCGATGAGAGAGAATCATTGATCAGCTGCCTCTTGCACACCCCCTACTGGGGATGTGCCGGAAACCAAGGTACATGCCCTTGACCGGAATCGAACCCGGGACCTTTCAGTCTGCAGGCCGACACTCTATCCACTGAGCCAAACCGGTCCTGGCTATCTTTTAAAATTTTTATCTGAATCATAAACCAGTTGAATTTTAGCTTTTCCTTTTCATTTAACTAGTGATATGTTCCATTTTTTCTGTTAATTGTAACCACAGAAACTATGTTTATAGTGACTAAACTATAGAATTTAAAGTTGGGCTAAATTCTGACCAAGCTATTAAAAAATTAATTTCAGCTGACACAAATAAGCCTATTTTTTCCATTTAATAAAATTTAAAAATTAAAATTTTTTTGTCAGTAGGGTTTTTTTTGGTTTGCCATTTTGAACAATTGGTAAATAATATGTGAAAGATATAAATATTCAATCTTTAGTCTTAAGAAATTATAGTAACTAAGAATTTTTATCCTCACTTAAGGACATGCTTTTAAAAAAATGATTTTAGAGAGAGGAAAAGAGAAGGAAAGAGAAACATCATTTGTGTTATGGATTGTAAAGCTCAATTATTTTACAATTTTTAAACCATTAACTAACTTCCTTTTAATAAAGATTAATTGGTAATATTCGTCTTGTTTTTAAATTTTCTGACTTTTCAATGAAAAAAAAGTTCCATCTTTTTCAAAAACATAATGTTAAAAAATGTTGCGCAGTCATTGTAGCAATCTTTGTACAGATAGATATATACATGCTCAGAAAGTTAACTGATTTCCTTTTTATTTCTATTTCTCTGAGATAGCCAATGTTGATAAGAGATTGGAGTAATTTCCTTTGGAAGGTATTGAGTATCTGCTTTGACAAGGTTCTGACTTATGGGCTCTTAGTGATACAGAGATAAATATAATAATGACTTTTGCCCTTAAGAATTATAGGAGATGAACTAAAAATAACATTAAAGATAGGAAGTGATAAGGGCATGAACAGGTAGATATGAAGTACATGGAGAATTGTTCCAAATTTGGGGGAAGGAGATGGGAAAGCTTGGAAAAGGCTTATTGAAGAAGTTAATTAAGTAATGAATGTATACAGGAAGAAAGATGATCTAGATTAGCACTATCCAGTAGAAATATAATGTGAACCAAATATATCTTTAAAATGTTCCAGTAACTTTAAAAAAGAAAAGAGAAACTGGTAAAATTATTATATTTTATTCTGTCATCTATCTATCTATATATAAAAAGGCTACTATGCAAAGTGTCCTCTTGGGAGTTCGACCGGGAGACTGGGAGTTTGATCGCTTACTGTGATGCGCACTGACCACCAGAGAGCAGATGCTCAATGCAGGAGCTGCCGAGCTGCAGTGACTTGGCAGTGGTGGTTCTTGGGTGAAGTACCCTGAAACCAGAGAGGAGGGAACTCCATTTCTCAAGGGGCCGTGTGATTCCACCTTCAGCCATGGTTATGTTGTTACTGGGGCTCTGTCACCCCAAATCTGGTTTACTACACACTTGCATTTGCATTCCACACCCTGTATGACAGCAGCTTTGCAGAGTGCCCTCTCGCATTCCAGGACCCTTTGGGGGATGCCAGAGAGCAAGTTTCGGCCCGATCCCAACAGGGATCCCAGGCTAAAGAACCCCACCTGCCAGAGGGGCCCCCACTCAGCAGATGCTGGGGAAGGACTGCGGGAGGTTGACTCCAGGGCATGTCTGGCCCATGTTACCCAGCCCTGCTCTGCTGGTCACTTTCTAATTAATTTCCTTTCAATGTGCATGAATCTGTGCACCAGATCACCAGTAAAATATACTCTCATTTTGACATTCAATCAGTTTTAAAAATTGTGATATTTTACCTCTTTTGTACTAACTGTTAAAAATCCAGTATGTGATTTACATTTATAACATCTCAAGTCAGTCTACTAACTGCATTTTAAGTGCTTAATAGTCAAATGTGGCAGTGGGTACTGTATTGGGCAAAGTTTAGGTAGATAAAACTTAGAAAAAATATCAAGCCAAGCAAATATATAATATATTGTGGGAGAAGAAAGTGTTTCAGTGTAGCATGAAGGGGAATAATAGGAGCTGATTCTGGCAGGATAGCTTGTGGGGAGGTCATGAAGAGACTTTTAAGGCACGTCTAGATGAATTACTACAACTAAAAATAATTATCTTAAATTTACTTAATATGCTAAGATTCACTAGAAGTGTTTTAGGATATGACTCAAAGATTGATATAAAAGCACATATTAACATTTTAAATTATGTGTTCAGAATTTCAGCCTGCATTTGGAATCTAAACGGGAAAACAATCTAGTAGAAAATAACACTACTGCTTCAACTCTGCTCAATCAAGCAAAAATTGATACAGGGGAGAGTAAATTTTCAGGTAACACTTTGAAAATATTACTTGAATTTCACAATGTTCAGAGATATTTTTTTAATGTCAGTATAACAGGAAAACTTATGAACTACCAGGTAGGCCTGTTTAACCCTTCTTAATCATTACTTATGTTTTTCAAAAGTGTGATTATCACCGTAATTGTTTCTGTTAATTGACCTGTTTAAAGAACTTAGGTGTGATTCTTTGACTCCCTACCAAAAATTCCTTTATTTTAAATCTGTTGTTTGTGACTTACTCTCTAGAGAAATGGTACCTAATGAATTGGCTGCTTCCTGCATGCCCCCTACTGGGGATCAAGCAACCTAGGCTTGTGCCCTAGCAGGGAATTGAACCGAATTAAACAGACCTCCTGGTTCATAGGTCGACACTTAACCAGCCAGCCACACCGGTTAGGCCAGAGACTACAATTTCTTTCTTTCTTTTTTTTAAATAACTGCAAGATTTTTTTAAAATTTTGTTTTTCAAATATTTTTATTAATTTCAGAGAGAAGAGAGAGGGAAAGAGAGATAGAAACATCAATGATGAGAGAGAATCATCAATGGGCTGCCTCGTGCACGCCCCCTACTGGGAATCAAGCCCGAAACCCAGGCATGTGCCCTTGACTGGAATTGAACCTGGGACCCTTCAGTCAACAGGCTGATGCTCTTATCTACTGGCCAAACTGGCCAGGGCTGCAATTTCTTTAAACAAAAGTGTTTTCATTTATTTCCATTAAGAGGTTATATAATTATGCAGACATTAAGCAAATTCCTGTATTGTTCAGTTCCATTAATTGATAAAACTAGAGGAATACTGTTAATTTACCATTAGATCTTTTTGCAGCTCTGCACAGCCTTTTTGCCTTTTCTCTGAAGAGTAATTTCTAGAAAGAGGGCTGTAATTTTATCAAGTGGTCTTTAATAAAAATAAAGCATGCAGTATATTGAGCTTTTTTCCTTCTTTGAAATGATTTTTTAACTATTAGATGGGTAGCAAGTATAAAGCTTAATATATAACCCATCTTGATTAAATTGCAGGTTCAACTCCCAAGCAGCACAATATACTCAATAATCAAACATCTAAGACCAGTGATAACAGGTATGATATTAGTTTAATATAAGTGTAAATATGACAAAAGCTAAAAGTAATTGAAGCATATTAAAAAGTTTATTTGAGCAAAATTAATTAGACTTGAGAAGCATTTAATCCAGCAGATAGAAAGGAGCTTTGAGGATTTGTACAGAATGACTTTTATAGTCATAGGGTGTGGGAACAAGGAAGTTATACTGGCAAAAAAAAGGAGTGTTGGTTATTGCAGAGTTAACTTTCCATAGAGGAAGGCTGCGGTATATTAGGTGGATTATCTTAACTAGTGCTAATCAAGTAATTACTGATTGATTGGTTTAAAATTCTATTTCTGGGAGAGCCAAAACTGTATTTAAGCTTCTATTTGATAACTTGAGGCTTAAGACAAGTGACTCCATTTTGGGTCTGTTGTCCTGTTTTTTACATAGTTTGATTTTAACCTGTAAATTTTGAGTTTGGAAGATTTTTTCTCTAACAAGTTATATTTAAAAACACTCAGTTTTTCACATAGAAAGACAGTGATATTCACACATTTTTTTTTTCATTATATATATTTTTTCTATGCTTATATATGCTGTTTTATAGCTTTTGTTTTTTTAGTTAATGTATTTGGGGCTGTATAATGTAACTTTTACCATCATACTGCATTCTTTTAAAATCTGCCTTAGATTTTGTTCCTTATTTAAAACTTCACTTTATAGACATTTTGGTTGTTTCTAGTTCATATATATATATATATATATGTCCTATGAGAAGCATATATATCTTTGTTCACTATGTGATTTATATCTAGGATAAATTTCATAGCCAGAGGACTTAACTTGCATTGCCAAATTTCCCTCCAAAGTGGAGCAAGTGTTTGAAAAAGCTCTTTTCCTCAAACCCCTCAAAATGCTGGATATTATCAACATGTAAAAGTTTTAAAGTAGATCAGAAGCTTTTTGTTTTGTCTTTAATATCATAATTAAATTAAACCTGACTTATTTTACTTTAGAGCAACAGTCGCCAGCTGGTGGTCTTCGGACCACTGGTGTTCTGTGAGGTTCGAAAGGTTGGCGACCTCTGCTTTAGAGATTACTGAAAACAGTGTTTAGGACAAACTGTAGTGACTCAGATTGCTAAAACTATAAAACTTACTGAAACTATAGTAGGTGCTGCAGTTTTTGTTTATTTGTTGAAACTTAGTAGTGTTCTTGGTTTTCCATTCTTGATTTTTAAAAGATTCGTTTTAAAATAGAGTTGAAATTTGTCAGTGTTGCTGGAAAATAAGTTATTTTTTTCCTTCCAATAATTTGAAGTGACACAGATCTATTATAGAACATTTACTAGGTTTTTTGTTTTTTTGTTTTAAAGGGAAACAACACCAAATCATTCTTGGCCCAAATGTAATTCCCATTTGGAGATAACAATTCCAAAGGATTTGAAATTAAAAGAAGCAGAGAAAACTGATGAAAAACAGTTGATCATAGTAAGTATATAACTTGACTTTTTTGGTATAGTATTGTCATAAATATTTTATTTATGCACATTGTTAAAGAATAAATTCATTCTCTTTTTCAAAGAGCCTTTTTTTTGTCACCATAAGTCTTCATTATGGAAATATTCCTAATAACATTACAAATTCCTCTCTCCCCATCCTCAAATAATGAGTCCATCATAATAAAGAATAAAATTTAAATTTGCCTTGGCCTAGCAGCTCAGTTGGTTGGAGCATTGTCAGATACACCAAAGGATTGTGGTTTCAATTCTCAAAGCACATACTGAGGTTGTGGGTTCAATCCTGGTCAGGGTGTCTATGCGAGGCAACCAATTAATGTTTCTCTCTCACATCAGTGTTTCTCTGTGCTACTGTCTTTCCCTCCCCATCCTCTCTCTAAACATATCCTCCATTGAGAATGAAAAACAAATTAAAATTTATATCTTTTTTAAAAATATATATTTTATTGACTTTAATACAGAGAAGAAGGGAGAGGGATAGACAGAAACAATGATGAGAGAGAAACATCGACCAGCTGCCTCCTGCACACCCCCTACTAGGGATGAGCCTGCAACCAATATGCATGTCCTTGACTGAAATCAAACCTGGGACCCTTCAGTCTGCAGACTGATGCTCTATCCACTGGGCCAAACCGGTTTCGGCTCTTTTTTGTTTTTAATGAAGTATGTGCCTTATTTATTTATTTTTTTAATTTTTAATTTTATTGATTTCAGAGAGGAAGGGAAAGGGAGAGAGAAATAGAACCATCAAACAGAGAATCACTGAACGGCTGCCTCCTGCATGCCCCTGGGGATTGAGCCTGCAATCCGGGCATGTACCCTGACTTGGTATTGAACCATAATCTCCTGCCTGGTTCATAAGTTAACGCTCAACCACTGAGTCTCACCAGCGGGCTATATTTCTAGCTTTATTTATAACATACTGATACTTCATTACTTTCTGAAATATATCACTTGATCTATTTTTAGATCAAAATATTAAAATAACATGGAGCTTAATACATAAAATGATTTAAAAAATATATATATATTTTATTGATTTTTCACAGAGAGGAAGGGAGAGGGATAGATAGCTAGAAACATCAATGAGAGAGAATCATTGACCAGCTGCCTCCTGCACACCACCTACTGGGGATCTGCCCACAACCAATGTACATGCCCCTGACTGGAATCGAACCTGGGACCTTTCAGTTCGCAGACTGATGCTCTCTCCACTGAGCCAAACTGGTTTTGGCCATAAAATGATTTTTAATATACCTATATTTTAGTACATTATACATTATAATTTTATAGGAACATAAACCAGTAGTTTATTTGAGATAGAACATGGATATTTTATTTTTAAAAAAATTTATTTCTTTTAAATATATTTTTATTGATTTCAGAGAGGAAGGGAAAGAGAGAGATAAAAACATCAGTATTGAGAGAGAATAATTGATCATTTGCCTCCTGCATGCCCCCTACTCTGGATCGAGCCTGCAACCCCAGCATGTGCCCTTGACTGGAATCGAACCTGGGACCTTTCAGTCCGCAGGCCAATGCTCTACCCAGTGAGCCAAATCAGCTAAGGAAGAACATGGGTACTTTACAATTGGGTTACAAGTTGGAAAAGAGGGAGATATTTTGATTGACTAAAGATCTAATTTGAACAAGTGAGCGCTATATAAACAAAATGAAGGGACCCACAATAATAATAACATTTAATGTACTTTCAATCAACATAATCAGTAGGATTTTGGGGGATTGGATAATTGATTCTAAGTTTAATATAGGAGAATAATTTTATAAGAATTGTCTAGAAATTTTTGAAGAGGATTAGTGAGGTAAAGAGTTGTTTTATATCTATATATATAAAAGGCTAATATGCTAAGTGTTCTTCCCACTGTCCAACTTGTCACTATGATGTGCACTGACCACCATGGGGCAGACACTCAATGTAGGAGCTGCCCTGAGGCACACTTAGAAATGGCCATGTGGAGGGACCGGTTTGGCTCAATGGATAGAGCGTTGGCTTGGGGACTGAAGAAATGGCCATGTGGACCTGGCCAACAAAGCAACACTTGGCTTCCTCTAAGTGGGACACAGGCACCACCCAGAGCTACAGCCCACCATGTGTCTATTGGCAATCTGTATATCCTCTTTTGGAGAAGTGTCTATTCAGGTCCTTTGCCCATTTTTTATTTTTATTTTATTTTTGTGTTCATTGGTTGGTTCTTTTTTTTTTTTTTTAATCTTTATTGTTCAGATTATTATAATTGTTCCTATAGAATGTGTTCTCTTATAGAGTAATTTCCCTTTTCATTTTGTTGATGGTTTCTTTTGCTGTGCAGCAGCTTTTTAGTTCGATGTAGTTCTGTTTGTTAATTTTTTCCTTTGTTTCCTTTGCCTTAGGCAATGTTTTAGTGGAAATAACTGCTATATACTTTTACATTCTTTCATGTGGCTACTAGAAAATTTAAAATTACATTTGTGGATTACATTTCAGTTGGTTAAGGCTGGTCAGGAGATGATGATGGTACTAATTATGATAGCAGTTAAGACTTTCTGAATGCATTTTTCCATGTAATCCACTCATATTAATTAAGTTAAGCTATATTAAAAAATCATGAGATCAGTACTGTTATTTCCCAATTACCAATGAGGAAGTTGGGGAAGGAATGCTTACTCATTCCTATGAAAACTGCCTGCTTGAAGAGATATTTGTATACTGATGTTCATTCATTATTCACATTAGCCAAAAGATGGAAGCAATATAAAGCATCCGTCAGTGGGTGAATGGGTAAACAAAACATGGTATATATTTACAATGGAATATTATTCAGCCTAAAGAAGGAAGGAAATTCCGACACATGGTACATTATCGTTGAACCTTAAGGATATTAAGCTAACTGAAATAAGCCAGTCACAGAAAGACAAATACTGGGGAGCAGGCGGGTCGGGTGCGGCCAGGCCCGGAGCAGCGGCTGCCAGGCTGGGAGCGGCCAGGCCCGGGGGAGCAGGCGGTTCGGGTGCGGCCAGGCCCGGAGCAGCGGCTGCCAGGCTGGGAGCGGCCAGGCCCGGAGCAGCAGCAGCCAAGTCCAGAGCAACTAGGTCGGGAGCGGCAGTGACCAGACCCGGAGCAGCTGGTTGTGGAATGAACCAGAGCAACAGAGGCCAGGCCCTGAGCAGCCAGGCCCAGAACAGCTCGCTCCTTGCCTGCCCCTCCCCCACGGCTGCTTCTCAAACATGGCTGGAAACTTTCGTGGGAACTTGAGGGTCTGCTGAATCAAGTGATGAAGGCTTAGATCTGGATGTGTTGAGTTAGTTCAGGACTGGGGTGTTGATCTGTGAGTGCCTTGGGTGGGGCCTGGATGAGGCTGGTTGACCTAGTGGGAAATGTCTTTTGTGTGAAGTGTATCATTGGGCATGTGGAGGTATTATTGATATGAGAAAATGCTAAGTAACTGATTTACTATCTGAAAAGGGATTTACTATTGGGGAAAGGGAGGGAAGAAGAGACTGAACATAAACTGCACTTATGGATGAGGACAATGGGGGATGTGGAGGGGGCAGCGGGTGGGGTGGGAGCCTGGTGGAGGGGGGAAGAAATGAGGAACCTTTGTAATAATATGAACAACAAAGATTGATTTAAAAAAAAAAAGAAAGAAAGACAAATACTGTATGATTCCACTTCTATGAAGTATCTAGAACAGTCAAATTCATAGAGACAGTCCCAGATTACATTAATTTCCTGGCGACGGCAGTAGACAGAGTGTTTGTGCTGAATTGCACAGGTCAAAGGCAATTTGCTGCAGATACTCATTTTCATTATTGTTCTGAGGGAAGTCTTCGAGAATCAGGTGGTTTCCAAGAACTGGGTAGGAAGAAGGATTAGGGAGCTGCTGTTTAATGAGGGTAGGAGAGGTTGGTTGCACAACATTGTAAATGCACTTAACATTACTGAATTGTACACTTTAAAATGGTTAACATGGTAGATATGTTGTATATGAATATCTTTTTATTTATTTATTTTACATTTTAAAAAAAATATATTTTATTGATTTTATACAGAGAGGAAGGGAGAGAGATAGAGAGTTAGAAACATCGATGAGAGAGAGTCATCAATCAGTTGCCTCTTGCACACCCCCCACTGGGGATATGCCCGCAACCAAGGTACATGCCCTTGACCGGAATCGAACCCGGGACCTTTCAGTCCCCAAGCTGACACTCTATCCATTGAGTCAAACTGGTCTCGGCTATTTTACATTTTTTTTATTAAATTATCTGTGTACATATTTTAACATTGCCCTCCCCCCCGTTCCCATTCATATCCTCCCTTCCCAGATGAATATCTTTTTAAAAAAATACATATTTTAAAATTGATTTCAGAGAGGGGGAGAGAGAGAGAGAGACTGAAACATCAAAGATGAAAGAGAATCATTGATTGATTGTCTCCTGAGTGCCCCCTACTGGAGATTGAGCCCACAACCTGGGCATTTGCTCTTGACCAGATTCAAATCCAGGACTTCAGTCCACAGGCAGACACTCTATCCAAAGAGTCAAACCAGCTAAGGAAGTATAGGTATATCTTAACCACAGTTACAAATTGTTTCTTCAGCCTGAAATAGATTTGCAGGTAACTAATTTTGTCAATGGTTTGAATCCTTTAGAATTAACTTCCCTTTAGTTTTATACACAATCTTTTATTTATCATTTGATTTCTCTTTGCTATTTGGCCCTGGTTTTGACATGCTATAGATACTTATATCTTAGATTCCCTCTTTCCCCACCCAGTAATTAGTTGAAATTGCATAGTTTTAGAATAGAAAGGGTAAAAGGATTGTTTTTCATCTTATTCTTTTAAAAAATATATATATTTTATTGATATTTTACAGAGAGCAAGGGAGAGGAATAGAGAGTTAGAAACATCGATCAGCTGCCTCCTGCATACCTCCCATTGGAGATGTGCCCACAACCAAGGTACATGCCCTTGACTGGAATCGAATCTGGGACCCTTAAGTCCACAGGCCGACGCTCTATCCACTGAGCCAAACCAGTTAGGGCATTTCATTTTATTCTTAAAGTTAGATCTTATTGCTGAAATTTTCTTGAATAGAAAACATTTGGTAAATTATTACTCTTCTATAGTACAAGCATGATTTATTGGACCATAGTTGATAGATAATAAAAAAAATTAATTTTACTTTTTCTCAAGAGTTTTAGGTGACGTCAAAATACTCTTTAATATCAACAATCCAGAATAAAACCTTTAAAGAGACAGACAAGTTATTAAAAAGACTATAAAACACTTATTTTCTTTAAACTTTAGCAGTATAAATATTCCAGATAAAAGTATATATTCTCATTTGTAGAGATTTGCTATTTGGGGCTTTAGGAATAAGATTTTAGTGTTAAAGATATTTCTCAGTTCCTTTCATTTGTTATTAAATGCTGTGGAGTGAGTGATGAAATTACTAAATAAAACAGTTCTCAAAAAAAAATTGCACACATTTCAAAGATTATATCTTTATTTTTGTAATCATCATTGTGTATTATCCTATATAAAAAGAACTAATATGCAAATGGTCATCACACCCTCACACCATCAGGCAGTAATGGCTCAGAAACTCAACAGTGGGGAGCAGCCAGGCACAAAAGAGCTTGCATGGAGGGATGGGGACCAGTCAGGCTGTGGCCCAGGAGAGGGACAAGTCGCCTCCCTCACGATCCCCTGTGGCAGCTTGGAAGAGGGATAAGTTGCCCGCCCCGTGGTCCCAGGTGCCAGTGCCAGTGGCTGTGGCTGTGGCCCGGGCACAGCCACCTGCCCCTTGCGGCTGCAGCCAGCCTGGGCAAAGCTGGCCTGGGTCCTGGGTGCCTGCAGCTGGCCAGAGGGAGGGAATCCTGGGTCCTGCATGCAGGGTGAGGCAAAGGTGGTTAGGGGCGATCAGGTCTGCAGGAGAACAGTTAGGGACAGTCAGGCATGCAGGCAGAGGGGTTAGGGGTGATCAGGCAGGCAGGTAGGCGAGTGTTTAGGAGCCAGCGGTCCTGGATTGTGAGAGGCAGTCGGACATCCCCCGAGGGGTCCCAGATTGGAGAGGGTGCAGGCTGGGCTGAGGGCCCCCTCTCTGTTCACATATTTCGTGCACTAGGCCTCGAGTTTATTATAGATTAAATACTTCGTATTTTATGTTCACACCTTAGCTTTAGAGACTAATGTTCTAGAATTATTCTTTTGGAAAGACAAAACTCTGTTTGTTTTTATAAATAGGATGCAGGACAGAAGAGATTTGGAGCAGTTTCCTGTAATATTTGTGGCATGCTTTACACAGCTTCAAATCCTGAAGATGAAACACAGCATCTGCTCTTCCACAACCAGTTCATAAGTGCTGTAAAATATGTGGTAAGTGGAATTCATGCCTTCTAAAACAGATTTTAAAGAGATGAACAGCCAAATTTAAGTCATTGAAGATTTTCCATTTTTTTTGGAAATGATACTGTATACAGAGCCAAACATAAAAACCAGCTAATTTGTCTGGTTTATGTTGTGGGATTTTTAATTTTTAAGGTACTTAGTGTATCTCTTCTAACAAGTAATGCTACTCAACGAGTATTTTTAAAGTTTCTTTTGATTTTAGTAATTATTAGCTGTTGATTAGTCTATTTAATATTATATGGTTTGACATAATATTTTTACTTGGGATTGATGGTGTTATATATTATACCAAAGAGATTGGTTGGGATTTCTTTTGCCTTCTCTTTTTTTTGCTATTATGAAAGGTTTTCTTTATCAAATTAAAAAAGAAAGTTAAGATCTCAGATTTGTAATATACTAAAAAAAAAATCACAAAAAAATAAATGTTTTAGTACATATTTTTTAATGTATGTACACTTGAGGTATAATGGGTATTATTAGATATTTGTTTCTGTAAATAGCAAAGTTTTCAATAATTTTGAACCATTTTAGATATTTTATGAAAATAGTAATTTAATGTAATTGCTGTTTACCTGTATCGGAAATGGAATCTATTTCTGTTCTATACATGTTACCTTCACATTAGTAAGACCTCCAGGATATCTGAACTGAGTTCACCAATTCATTTCATGTAGGCTTTTTATATATATGTACCAAATGTTAAATATGAATTATTTAAAGATTTTTCTTGACTTTAGTTAAATTTGTATTTTTATCTTTGGTTGAGGGGTTTTTATTCATTGTTTCATTTATCCTGTTACTTCTACCCAAGATATATGGGGTTTTCTTTTTTATGGTTCCTTACTGTGGTGATCCATTATATTCCTTATTTCATCTGCCTTTTCTGCACCTCCCCCCTTCCTTCCACTTAATTAAATAAAACATAAGGTGTGTGGACAAAGAATATTTATAGCTTTGATATTGGCATTTGAAATTTGTATTTTTCCCTTTTGACAATATTGTCCTTACAATTTGAAAAGAAAAACAGTTATATTGGGTAGCTAAATTATAGAATACTTCTGGGGTAAAAATATTTGTTTATTTTACACATGCGAATCTGGTAAGAATTAATTTAAATGAGTTCTCAATTTACATTATTTGATTTTGCCATCAGTTTCCTAAAATTATAAGAAATTAGGTTTAAAAGACTTAATTCTTCATCTTAGGGGAATTTCTTAATTTCTGAGAGAAACATTAAAGAAATCAGGAAATATGTACTGTTTTCCACAGTACCAAGGGAAATTGGTTTATGGAGCAAGATGGAGTCATCAGCTTCTAATAAATTGATTTGAGAAAATTGATTTCTGTCCCAGTTTCCCTCCTTCTCCCCCTTCTCCCTTGATGGGACAGAGCTATGGGTTATTTATTTTTTAAATAAACTCAAGAGAAGGAATTGAGTTTAGCAGTTGGCCATCCTTTGCTAACATCAAGATCATTATTCTTATCTTTTGCTTTTTTCAAATGTAGGTAAACAAAGTCTAAGGTAGTAACTCCTCTAAAACATTATAGTATTTTATTTTATTTATTTTTTTAGTGTATGGAGATATAAGAAAAACATCTATATTAAAGATGTTCTGTGCTCACAGCTCTGGATTATAGTTTGTGACATTTCCACTTATATTGGGTATCTAGTATTGTGCTTTAACATTAATTAGTCTCTTTTTTTGTTAAGATATAATTCAATATAAACACTTTTTTAAAGAAACTTATTTTTATTGATTTCAGAGAGGTAGAGAGAGGTAGAAAGAGATAGAAATATCAATGATGAAAGAGAATCATTGGTCGGCTGCCTCCTGAACGCCTCCTACTGGGGATTGAGCCTGCAAACTGGGCATATGCCCTTGACCAGAATCGAACCCGGACCATACAGTCCATAGGCTGATGCTCTAGCTACTGAGCCAAATCAGCTAGGGTGAATATTAAGCACTTTTAAGTGTTTGACAAAAACACCTAAATATTTTTAATGCTAGTTATCTGTTGTGTTTGTTTCTTGGAGAAAAGCACATGGAAAAGAAGTCATTTAGGTGCTCCGGCTTTAATTAATTTTAAATAGTGTTCAGGGACCTGAAGTAAAGGTTTGTTCTACTTAAAAACAATAACTGAGAACAATAAGTTTTACTTTTAAATTTTTAATTAAACATTCTTTAGAAAATAAGTAGCTTCTCTATAGGGTAAAATTTTTCCTTTAGACATGGTAAATGTCTATGATAGTAAAAAATGGCCAAAGACCTGTTTTCAAAAGATTAAAATATTATTTATATTATATAGTTATAGTAGAAATTGATTCTCATAAAACCCATTTTTGGTTGACTAATATATTTCCTTTTCTTTATCCTCTTTGGTTTGGGGTTGGGAGAGAGTGATGGTGCACTCTTTATTCCTTCATTGTACTTACCTGCCTCATTGACACCATTTGAGGAAATGCATTTTATCTGACTTATTAGAAACTATTTAGGAAGAAGTCTCTTAATGCTTCAGAAGTAGATATTGCTTTTTGAAAGGCTTTTTCATGTGAAATTGGTTGGGTAAGACAACTGGAACAACCAGTTAAGCTCATTCCTTCTGTACTTATTATTTAAAGCTCCTAGTTTTAACCTCTGGTTCAGTCCCATCTTACTAGATTTAAGTGGCTTTTGTTTTGTTTTGTTTTTTCATGCAGGTTCTGCTCATTAATCACCACGAGTGTGGATCTGAAGAAGAATTTATTACCTCTCTTTTTTTGAGTATGTTTAACTTCAGATACACACAACGTAGCCTCTCCTTTCCTATTAGATTCTTAGAAGGTAGTTATATTTTTACAGTCTCCTTCTTGTGACTTTGATAGTTGTGACCAATAAGATAAACACTTATTCCTTACATGTTGGGCTACTGCATGCAAATCAGTTCATTTAAAACCTCCTGGAGGTCTTTGGCATGCTAGACATAAACCATGAGTGTGTGTTTGTGGAGGTAACCATGTTCCAAAGAAACTTAAGAGTTTATTTCTTAAGAAACTAGGAGAGATATCTTTTAGGTTCTGGGAATCATTGACTTTTAAGGGGTTTGCTTTTGGTGTGTGATTTTCAAAATTAATTAAATGGGAAATGATAAATTAGAAATAGGCTTGTGGTATCTCTGTGTGAGTAGTATAAAAATCTTAGCTTGCATTGTACCTATTGTATGCTTAACAAAATTGCTGATTTGTCATAGTTAAACATTAATAAGCATATAATTTTTTCATGTTTGCAATTTTTAGACACGTTGATATTTTTTTCTTTTTGTACATGAATATGAATGTACATTCAATTTATTTTTCTTTTGTTTTAATCTAGGGCTGGAAAAAAGAAAGGATTTTGGCTGAATATCCTGATGGCAGGATAATAATGGTTCTACCTGAAGATCCAAAGTATGCCCTGAAAAAGGTAAATTTCTAGTGAAATTTCATGTAGAATGGCTAAAATAATTTTACAGCTAATTTTAAGAGAATAAGACATTCTAGCATAGCACATTTAAACACCAATTCTGAAAACATAAAATAAGCATTTAAAGAATAAAACTCAACTAAAAAATCCTGGTTAAACTTTGTAGTGTGTCCAACACATATGAACTGAATTTTCAGTGACATCATTACTATTCTATCTACACTAATAAAAGAGAAACATGCAAATTAATGATTATTCTGCTACACCCACAAACCATGCCCACCAGGAGCAAGTATGCATATTAACCCAACCAAGATAGCAGCCAGCCACTGAACCAGCAGGAGGCTTGGGTTTCCCCAGCAATGGAGCTAGCCAAGCTTTCCATTTGCTCTGTGGTTCCTGACTTTTCAGATAACACTGTATATATGACTGGACAGTCCCAGATGCCCAAATAAACTTCCATTCTACCACTGCTTAACAAGTATAGACTAGCATTTAGAATGACATGTAAATAATGCCTCCTGTCTTTGAAACATTGATCCTTGCACAAAAATAAATACTTATTGAATTAATGTTGGATTAATGATTGACTTAATGAAAATCAAAATATGGAAATTTGCAATTCCAATTATGATAATTTAGAAACACACAGTGGTAACTTTGCTAAACAATCATATATGGCATTCAGCCTTTTCTTTTTAGTAAGACTCCTCAGTAAATGCTAATTTCCCCATTTAGTTTCTCAAGGCAAAATCTTAACCTGCAATTAAGTATGTTACTAGTTAATAACCCATAATAGGCTAACAATTAAAATCTAGGGTATGTGAGTCATTTACCTGTAGGAATCAAATCAGGAGTTGTGAGATACTGTTCCAGGAATAGAAGTTGGGTTTTTATCAATAAATAAGGGATATATTATATGGTATTCTGTAACTCAGAGATGTGAACATTTAATCCTCTTAGGAGTTATTTGCGTTTTAAATTTAGTAGCACAAATCCATGTTTAGTGGGCTGAATATCTGCAGATTATTTTGTAACTGGAAAAGGAACTAATTTTTAAGTGCCTACAAAAATCTGGACTTTGAGTACTTATAAAGGTTTGAGCTTATTGTTTGACCACAATTCTAGGAAGTAAACTAAAGGAACCACAGTTTGATGCCATATTAATATTAGGGATTCAAATCTCTGCTCCTTGATTTTCTAGATGTTCAATATCTACTATGGGAAAGTTGCTTAATTTTGAATTTTATTGCTTCCATAAATAAAGTAAGGAACCATAGACCTCTAAGAGATATTGGATTTAAGTGAGATAATATTTGTAACTTTGTATAATGTTTGGCTTATAAATGGTTGGTAAGGAGTAAATTTGTTTTTTTTCTCTGTGCCCACTTTGTTTTACTGATGAGAGTACTAGTTAAGACTTGGAAAGGAAAGTAACTTTCCTGGCTAACATTCCAGTGAAGTTCTCTCTGTGATGCTTCTTAATGAGAAGCCTTAATGTTTTTATGGCGTATTATAGGACCTCTTACTTTTCTTGTTCCTTAGATTAGTCTTAGCATCACTCTGCAGTTTTTCACCTCATTTTGTAAGTTGGTCCACAGGGTTTGAAAAACAGTTGTTGGTAACACAGTCATTTAAAAGAACTCATTAGAGGATTTCCTCAGAATGATATACTCAACTTATTGACTTGAAATTGTATATTTTTACATATATACAATGCTTTCATTATTATTTTTAAAATATTGTTCTTTACTTGACAGGTTGACGAAATTAGAGAGATGGTTGATAATGATTTAGGATTCCAGCAGGCTCCACTAATGTGCTATTCCAGAACTAAAACTCTTCTCTTTATTTCTAATGACAAGAAAGTAGTTGGCTGTCTAATTGCAGAACATATCCAATGGGTAAGTGAATTTTAGAGTGTTCATATTTTGTTTGACATTTAAAGAGTTTACTATGTAATCTTGAATAACATAATCCTAGTTAAATTTATGAACATTTAATGTAAGGAAGAGTGTGAATGCAAAATTTTTGCGTGTAATTTTTTACTACAATAGAGCTGTTTTCAGTGGGTATTAGTTTTTCAAGTTAAATATGTAAGATAAAAATTGTATAAATCAAAAGTACTTTTAAATTTTGTTTCGGAAGTTTCCATGTTGGATACTAATGTAATGTCTGTACTAATTAGTCCCTTCAGTATTGGGATAAAGAGTTGGAAAATTATACTTCTAGGTCAAAATCCAGCCTGTTTTTGTAAATAAACTTTTATTGTAACACAGCCATATATCCATTTGCTTACATATTGTCTGTGGTTTCTTTCACACTATAAAGACTGAGTTAAATAATTGCAAGAAAGACCAGATCGACTTTTATAAAAAGTTGCCCACCTCCAAAATAGGTCACCACTTCTTTGGTTGAAATCTAGGTGATGAGTTGCTTGCATTTAAGATCTAAGTTGTTGCTGAGACCGGTTTGGCTCAATGGATAGAGTGTCGGCTTGGGGACTGAAGGGTCCTGGGTTCGATTCCGGTCAAGGGCATGTACCTTGGTTGCGGGCATATCCCCAGTAGGGGGTGTGCAAGAGGCAGCTGATCGATGACTCTCTCTCATCGATCTCCCTTCCTCTATCTCTCTCCCTTCCTCTCTGTACAAAATCAATAAAATATATTTAAAAAAAAATAAGATCTAAGTTGTACAAAAAAATGAGCAGTAGAATCGGTAAAACGGGTATGTTCACATTATGAGAGTTAAGTAGGAACAGACTAACTTAAGAAAACAAAAAATTCAGAACTCTCCTTAATCATGCTCACTTGAGGCATACCCCATTTGAAATTTATCTATTTTCAGCTGAGTTCTTACTGATGAATTCAATATTCATTGGATTAGACCTCTATTTAGTTGGTATCTTTTAGATTGCTTACAGAGCTGTGTGTGTACTTCATCATGAAGTTTTCTAATAAAGTAAAAAGTCAAAATAAGTGTATGAGTTAATTTCTGTATGTGCAGCTATTTTTTTCAAAAGAAAATTCAACCTGAAATTATAGTTTTATGAATCTTGCTATTTATAATAACAAAATTGATTTCAATCAATAGCCGATAGAGTAGTTTGGGAATACTAATTTGATATAAAATGACTAACTCATGAAAGCTTGCCATATTGAAATTGAGTTAATTTTACATTGTGCAAAGCCCTTGTGTTTTTGTTTTTTTCTATCTTACTTAGTTCTAAAAATGACTAGCAGTAGAAGTGTTTAGACTAGAAGGATGGCAGCAATCACAGAAACCATTGTTATGACTGCTGAGTTCTTAAGATGTACTTTTACTAAATCTTAGGATGTGGAAGGTAGAGAAAACTAGCATTCAGTTCCTGTTGTGTCAACCATGATGACAAGATGCTTTGTATGTATTACCTTATTCAGTTTCTCAACAGTTCTCTGAAAGAAATGGATATTTCCAATTTATAGGTAACAAACTCAAAGCTTAATGAAGTAACTTCCTCTCTTGGTTATGTAAATAGTGAGTGAATTAAAACAGAAGGTAGATCCAGATCTATTCCCTAAAGTGAGTGTGAAACCATAAATTGTCCTCATATGTTTGTTAAGAAACAAGACAAATGTAGAGACTTCTTCACTAAGGTCAGTACTAGACAATTGCCAAGTAATATTCTTATTTGAAAATTTTTTTTCCAATTTTAATATAGGGCTACAGAGTTATAGAAGAAAAACTTCCAGTGACCAGGTCAGAAGAAGAAAAAGTCAGATTTGAAAGACAAAAAGCCTGGTGCTGCTCAACATTGCCAGAGCCTGCAATCTGTGGGATCAGTCGAATATGGGTATTCAGCATGATGCGTAGGAAGAAAATTGCTTCTCGCATGATTGAATGTCTAAGGTAACTTGAATGTAATCCTTCACATTTTTTTCAGTACTTTAGGAAATATTGCCTTAACTTATTTTAGGAAATATTGCCTTAACTTAATATTATTATTATTTAATAATATTATTTATAAATTAAGCCTTTTATTCATTTTTTTTTTGCTTTTCTCACTTGATTTTTAATCAGAGGTATTGAGGAAAAGACCAAATTGCATGTTTTGGTTTTTTGTTCTTTAAAGAACCTATGCTAAAAGATTAATGGAGAAGGTTATAAAATTAGTCATACAAATGAGGTTTTAGTTCAAGCTCTTGTGTTTATTCATAGAATCCCTATCTATTACCCTGTTTCCCCGAAAATAAGACAGTGTCTTATATTAATTTTTGCTCCCAAAGATGCGCTAGGTCTTATTTTTAGGGGATGTCTTATTTTTCCATGAAGAAGAATACGGTACACATTTATTGTTAAATGAAAATAAAGGAAATTTATTACCTGTATACAGTACGGTAGTATGGTAGTTGTCAACACAAACCAGACAAACTGAATTCTACAGTATCAAGAATTTACTCATTTATTCAATGACAATCATGTCATTATCTTCTGGAACATCATCATAACAATCCAATTCCTGAATTTCCTGGTGAATTTCTTGTGATTCCATTTCTTTCAGAATCAATAGACCAAATCTCTCATGTTTAGCCTAGGGGGGCCTTATTTTCGGGGGGATGCCTTATATTTCACTAAGAAGGAAACCTGTAAGTAGGTCTTATTTTCGGAGGATGTCTTATTTTCGGGGAAACACAGTACCTGTTGATAATTGTTTTCAAAATAACCCATCATTGTTTTAAGTGAGATTCTAAGGCTCTGGGTTCTTAGCCCCTTTATGTGTTTCTTGTCTCTCTTCCCCTTATTTTATCACTAAGTCACGATTCAGATGGGCTCAGATCTATCCACCCTTTTCATGACAAGAAGCACTGTTTTTAGCTCTTTTAGAACTAAAGGTCTGTTTTTAGCTCTTTCAGAACTAAATCTAGAAAATGCAGCTGATTAAATGATAGTCTTAAATAAGGGTATTGGTCCTTTAAACCTTGCAAAACTTAGATTTTATGACAATCATAAAATTGTTCTAGTTCATAAAAATATAAAACAGTATAACCTTGTATTTGTTCTGTGATCCTGAAGTTGACACAATAAGCTTCCTATTAAAGCACATAGAATTTTTACTTTTTTCATTTATTGATCCTTCTTGTTTTTGGATAATTCATTGCGAATATATAGAAATACAATTAATTAAAAATATACATATATATTTTATTGATTTTTTTACAGAGAGGAAGAGAGAGGGATAGAAAGTTAGAAACATTGATGAGAGAGAATCGTCGATCAGCTGCCTCTTGCACCCCCCCCACTGGGGACGTGCCCGCAACCAAGGTACATGGACCGGAATCAAACCTGGGACCTTTCAGTTCGCAGGCCGACGCTCTATCCATGAGCCAAACTGGTTTTGGCAGAAATACAATTAATTTTTAAAAATATTGATCTTGTGTCCTATAAAATTGCGGATCTCATTTTTAATTAGACTCTAATACTATATTGTTTTGAATAGTAGAGGTATGTGCAGAGATAGCCTTACCTTGTACCTAATCTCTGGGGAACAATTTTCAGTCTTCCACCATTAACATTTGGTGTTCCTTGTTCTTTTTCAGTTTAAGAAAGTTCTTTCTTCTCAGGGTAGTTGAATTTCTATCATGAAAAGTTGTTGGGTAAATGTTTTTAAAACCATTGTTGCTTTCATATATATATATATATATATATATTTACCTCAAATTATTATATTTTAGATGAATAGTTATTTTCAACATTTTTGGCATATACAGCATTATCTAAAAAGTCTACTCAAACTGTATTTGACAGGTTTTTCTAATTTTATCCTTCTACTTCCTCACCCCTCTTATTTTTAATAGGAGTAACTTTATATATGGCTCATATTTGAGTAAAGAAGAAATTGCTTTCTCAGATCCCACTCCTGATGGAAAACTGTTTGCAACACAGTATTGTGGCACTGGTCAATTTCTGGTATATAATTTTATTAATGGACAAAATAGCACCTAAAACAAATCTTGCCTACAGAAGACATCTATTGAAGAGTGGATTGGTTTCTGTCTTTAACCAGGAACTAGGGCCATTTTTGTTACAATGAACTCAGGACTGGCAACAGCCATGAGGTTGTTCCATTTTCATAAAATTGGAAACAATGCAGTAATAGCTTATTATTGTTTTGTTTTTTAAAGAAGATATTTTATTATCTTTTACAGAAATTTATGATTAATGTATTTTATCTATAGTTATTTAGACATGTTTACATGCAGCAGATACTTGTTCATAGTGGACTGAAAACTAATGCAAGGACTATGGTCTCAGTGATAAGTATATTTTGAAGTTCTTAATATGGAAATATACCAGTGTAGTTTGGTACTGTATTTTTTTTATATATTGATCTGCTGATAACAGTTATAGTTTTAAAGATTGTATTTTCACAGAGCAGAAACCAGTGTTTTTAAGCTATTATTCAAGGAGGGTATAATATTAAATGTTTAGGAATTAAAAGCTAATTTTTTAAGGGCCTGAAATACACGTTGAAGGATTTTCCACTAAAAAGCAAAGCTCCAAATAAGCAGAAGGAATTTGGAATATCGAGCTTTTCCTCCCATTTCTCTCTTTCTTGCTCTTGAAGGCATAAAAAAGTGGAAGGTTGTAAAGAATTGAGTCTTTCTTTCTTGGAGACATATAAGTGACTAGAATTAGGATAGTACCCTCTAAAGTTTATTATCTTTTATTTCTTAAATGGCAACTGGGCACACTTAGGCTATTAACAAAACTCCAAAGAGGTTTATAAAAACCCATAAAATAGTTGCAAGCTAAATATTAATGACTTGGTATCTGCTTTGTTATTCCTCAGAAATACTACACTGAGTATATACCCTCATTACTGGACTTCATTTTGATACTTGTCAATCCTTCATAGTGCCCTCTACTTTTAAAGGGTTTATATGTTGAAAACTGCTGTGGCCTTTTATGACTTGTATATAATGTAGGATAAAATAATAAAATACTTGATAGCTTTTTCTAAGTAATAAATGAGTGTTGTGTTGTCATTTGTGCTTTTTCAGGGAGTTTAATTTGATATCTTGAAAAATGATAAAAACACTGGCTTCTTAAAAGATTAGTTTTTATCAGTTTTCCAAAGATCAGCATATCAGCAACTCCTCTGAACTTTAATAAAAGGCAAATCCTGACAGAATATCTATATATCTATATATAGATATAGATATAGATATAGATATAATGTGTGTGTGTGTGTGTGTGTGTGTAATAGGCAAATTGTCCGGGACACTGCAATGTCACAACCTCTCAAGAGGAGGCTGTGTGTGCAAGTGGGAGGGGACTGTGTGCTCCGTGAGTCAAGCCACGGATGACATAGGCCCCAGAGAACAGGCACACCGACAATCCCACCTCTGCATGAGCTGCAGAGGAAATACCTTTTCTGACCGCTCATTGGCTAAGCTTCCCCTTACGTCACTCGCAGTGTTCTTGATAACTTGGGTAATAAGAATCCAAGAAGGTGATCTGGGGTTTTTCCACCTTGTTCCTGGAGGAAAAAACGAAGGTCGGCTGCTGGAGAGGCTCAGAAATGTCATATCCTGCCCTAGCTGGTTTGCCTCAGTGGATAGATCCTCAGCCTGCCAACTGCAAGGTCCAGGTTCAATTCTGGTCAAGGTCATGTGCTTAGGTTGCATTTGAGTTTTTACTGTGTGTCACACCCTGTCTGTGGTCCTGCATTATTTTTTTCGTTATGACAACCTTATGAGGTAGAGTTTATAAATAAGGAATCTGGAACTTTGAAGGTAACGAAGACTACTAAAGCAGTCTTGAGTAAAAATTTTGAAACATTGAACTAAAGCTGTGTTGTATGGGATGAAGATGAGAGAAGATGGATAAACTCTAAGACAATATACTGGAAGAATTGGTACAAGTTGATAACTGACCAAAGAAGAATTATGGCAAAAGATCTAGGGTAATTGGGAATTTTGATTTGGGTAATTAAGTAGATGGGTTGACTGAGAAGGGAATACTGGAGAATTTTGTTGAGAGGATTGGATAGGAAGGATTTTGGTAAAGATTTTAAGGTAGTTGAATATTTTCTGAATGGAGATAACTTATTTGGTATATAATTGGATATATTGAGTTAAGGAAATTTATGATTATAGTTATTTGAAGGTTTAGAAGAGTTCACCAACCTGAAATTTATTTTTAATTTTTAAAAACAAATCTTTATTGTTCAGATTACAGATGTTCCTTCCCCCCTCCCCCAATAGCTCCCCTCCAGCCGATTCCTCCCCTCAACCCCGTGGTCCTTACCCTCTGCCACTGTCCTCATCCATAGGTATAGGATTTTTGTCCAATTTCTTCCCATACCCCTCACACCTTCTTCCCGCCGAGAATTGCCAGTCCACTCCCTTTCTATGCCCCTGATTCTATTATACTCACCAGTTTATTCTGTTTATTATATATTTTTTTGTTCATTTGATTTTTAGATTCACTTGTTGATGGCTATGTATTTGTTGTCACTTTGTTGTTCATAATTTTTATCTTTTTCTCCTTCTTAAAGAATAACCTTCAGCATTTCATATAATCCTGGTTTGGTGGTGATGAACTCCTTTAGCTTTTTCTTGTCTGTGAAGCTCTTTATCTGACCTTTAATCTGAATAATAGCTTTGCTGGGTAATCTTCATTGTAGGTTTTTGCAATATTATCTTAAACCAGGAAGAAACTAAAGGGCCAATTATCATGACTAAAGAGATTGCCAAGAAATGTTTGTCCCTGGATGTTCTAGGTCAAATTAGCAGAATAGGAAGGTATGACAGTTTCACAGCTTTTAGTCTTTCCAAGGCAACTGTTTGGAATATGTAGTGGAACACTGGCAGTTTCTATTTGCTCTTGAATTTGTCATCATACTTGTATTTATTGCCCCTCCTAAGATAATGAATGGGAGCCTTTGGCCTAGGAGACTTTTTTTTTTTTTAATCAATCTTTATTGTTCATATTATTACAAAGGTTCCTCATTTCTTCCCCCCCTCCACCAGGTTCCCACCCCATCCTCCACTCCCTCCCCATCCCCCATTGTCCTCATCCATAGGTGCACAGTTTATGTTCAGTCTCTTCTTCCCTCCCTTTCCCCCGATAGTAAATCCCTTTTCAGATAGTAAATCAGTTACTTAGCATTTTCTCATATCAATAATACCTCCACATGCCCAATGATACACTTCACACAAAAGATATTTCCCAATAGGTCAACTAGCCTCATCCAGGCCCCACCCAAGGCACTCACAGATCAACACCCCAGCCCTATACTAACTCAACACATCCAGATCTAAGCCTTCATCACTTGATTCAGCAGACCCTCAAGTTCCCACGAAAGTTTCCAGCCATGTCTGAGAGGCAGCCGTGGGGCAGGGGCAGGCGAGGAGCGAGCTGTTCCGGGCCTGGCTGCTCCGGGCCTGGCCTCTGGTTCATTCCACAATCAGCTGCTCCGGGACTGGTCACTGCCGCTCCCGACCTAGTTGCTCTGGACTTGGCTGCTGCTGCTCTGGGCCTGGCCGCTCCCAGCCTGGCAGCCACTGCTCTGGGCCTGGCCGCACTCGACCCGGCTGCTCCCCCGGGCCTGGCCGCTCCCAACCTAGCAGCTGCTGCTCCGGGCCTGGCCGCACCCGACCCGGCTGCTCTGGGCCCGGCTGCTCCGGGTCTGGCCGCTCCCAGCCTGGCAGCCGCTGCTCCAGGCCTGGCCACTAGGAGACTGTTTTCATGCTTCCATATAAATGTCTATTATTTTAACAGTCTACAGAACTAACTGAAAGGTATTATTCTGGAATAAGTTACTTTCCTAATTTGGTAAAATTCAAGTTTAGAAATAAATTGGGAGATTAACATCTTATGTCATATTACACAGTTCTTGCAAACCATTCTGCCTCAATGAAGGACAGCAAAGTGAGTACAGGTGTCATCTACACTAATAAAGAGAAATATGTAAATTGATGACATGACCAACAGCCAATCAGGAGATATGTAAATCAGGACAAAGATGGTGGTGGCCCTGCCGCTGGCTGTTCCAGCTGTGGAACAACTGGGTGGAGCAGGATGCCTGCTATGAGGGGGGGAGGGGATGTGTGGCAGAGGGAGCTACAGGAGCGGCGCTTCAGCCAGAGTCAGCAAAGGCTGGCAGGAGCAAGGGTGGAAGGCGGCGGCCAGAGTGGAGGCCAGGGTCCTGGATGCCAGAGCAAAATGGGTGCTGGCAGCCAGGTGAAGGAAGACCTATTGCACAAATCTTCGTGCAACGAGCCTCTAATGTAATAAAAGATTTGGGATATGTGTACAATGACTATTTCTAACATCTCTTGAATAATCACTTATAGATCTGTCTCCTATAATTATGTGGAACTCTGCAAATGGACATCATTGTGGATAGTTACTTAACACTTTGATGGACTGTTATGCCAGGGTAGTGGAATCTTAGAGTCATCCAATCTGTGATACATGAACTTGCATCTGTTCTTGGACACTGTCAAGGGAGCTCGTTTCATTTATGAATATATCAGAAAGTTAAAGAAGACAAAACTTATTTTGGGTGTGAGAGAATTTTAATACATCACCAAATTAAATGGAAGGACAAGAACATATTGTAGACACAACTTAAGACAATTTAAAATCATAAACAAAATGTGAGGTAGACTAGTGAAATTCACCAAATTTTGGTTAAGAAAATTTTACAGTAATAAAGTTAACAGGTGCCTCCTTTTCTAAAAAAACAAACAAAAAAAAAACACATTTGCATAAATTACAGCCAAAAAAACAAAACAAAACACCTGACTACAACAATTCTAATTTTACTTTACATTCAGTATTAACCTGGGTGAACTGTCATAGTTCAACAGGTCTATAGGTTTAATTATTATGGAGGCCTAGAGAACACATTCATACCACAATGTTTCTAAGGAATGGCAAGGCTTGAAGCTGAACACACCAAGGTATGTATTAACAAATCATGGTGTCCTGTG